AGGCTTTAACTGTCTTCTTGTAGTTAGAACCTGGAAGTTGTAAGTTGTTGCAGGCTTTAACTGGCTTCTTGTAGTTGGAAACTGGAAGTTGTACGTTGTTGCAGGCTTTAACTGGCTTCTTGTAGTTGGAAACTGGAAGTTGTTGCAGGCTTTAACTGGCTTCTTGTAGTTGGAACCTGGAAGTTGTACGTTGTTGCAGGCTTTAACTGTCTTCTTGTAGTTAGAACCTGGAAGTTGTAAGTTGTTGCAGGCTTTAACTGGCTTCTTGTAGTTGGAAACTGGAAGTTGGAAAAGTTTTATAATTGGTAAATTAAAACGATACAAAATTTACAAATAAAACATTACAATTTCAAGATAAAGCATGATACAGAAGAAACCATGTGTCCCTTGATAATGTTATTGTGGTAGATTTTTCCAGTTTCCAACTACAAGAAGCTAGTTAAAGCCTGCAACAACGTACAACTTCCAGGTTCCAACTACAAGAAGCTAGTTAAAGCCTGCAACAACTTACAACTTCCAGGTTCCAACTACAAGAAGCCAGTTAAAGCCTGCAACAACTTACAACTTCCAGTTTCCAACTACAAGAAGCCAGTTAAAGCCTGCAACAATGTAAAACTTCCAGTTTCCAACTACAAGAAGCCAGTTAAAGCCTGCAACAACTTACAACTTCCAGGTTCTAACTACAAGAAGACAGTTAAAGCCTGCAACAACGTACAACTTCCAGTTTCCAACTACAAGAAGCCAGTTAAAGCCTGCAACACTGGTAGATTTTTATTACAGAATGAAAAGCTTCAGAAGCAGAATTACTGTGTTTTAATTACCTAATTAAAACATCTACTTTGTGAATTTTGTGCAGAAACGTTTGCAAATATATTTACTGTGTTTAGGACACCCAATTAGAAACACCATCTATGCATGTTGTAGATAACCAATCAGAACGTTTTATTGATACTCTCTTTGTTTAAGATAACCAATCAGAAAGTTTTATTGATACTTTCTTTGTTTAAGATAACCAATCAGAACGTTTTATTTAGATTTTCTTTGTTTAAGATAACCAACCAGAAAGGTTTATTGATACTTTCTTTGTTTAAGATAACCAACCAGAAAGTTTTATTGATACTTTCTTTGTTTAAGATAACCAACCAGAAAGTTTTATTGATACTTTCTTTGTTTAAGATAACCAACCAGAAAGTTTTATTGATACTTTCTTTGTTTAATATAACCAACCAGAAAGTTTTATTGATACTTTTTGAATGACCTTTTATTAGGTAAAGCAAACATAGAGGATAACTGTAAAACATTTTTTGTGTAGCTCGTGAACTGTATTGTTTACGGATTTTAACTTTCTAGCACTTATATGTATATTTTTTTAAATGCAGGTGGTAGCAGTGGACATGAAGGAGATAAATTCAGAAAACCTGGTATGTTGGTCATGAAATAGACCTTTTATCAAGTCCATCTTATGTCTCTAAATTTCTTTAATAGCACAGGTTTTGTAAGTTGTTATTTTACTTGCTGTAAAACATACTTAGAATTTTAAATGCATGAAGGATTTCACTTGGTTTTCCTGCTTCTATTTTTTTCTATTGTGTCTTTATACTTAGAACCCCTTGGGAAAGGAACTTCCATTGCTGTGAAACCCAAACCAAGGTAGGTTTCTGTTGAAAATGGTTATTGACTAAAGGGTGCTCTAATTCTTATATTCATAAGTCCAGACAATCTTTGTGTATGTAGATTATACAATTGTCATCACCTTTATAAACTTGTGCTAAAAAGATTTTAATATTTCTAAGGCAAAGAACCAACAGATAGATACGAGTAGTTGTACGTATGTTGTTGCAAAGTTGCTCTGCTATTTAAATACCTGTCACACTAACATTATCGAGAGATGAATGGTGTCTTCTGTGATCATTCATCAGTTTTCAATCATTTTACTTGTTTTAAAATATCTTATTAACAAGCGTAACAAGTGTTTGTATTTCCATTTGATTTAAAAAAATAATATATTAGCTTGGTAATCTTTCAGTTGTAGAAAAGATGTGAAAAGTAAGGATTAGGTTAGCTAGCTGTGGCATTTTTAGTTAAATAATGAATTTATCGTTTCAAAAGTAAGGATTAGGTTAGTTAGCTGTGG